AGTGTTTTCTATCTGGAAACCCCTGAAAAGGGTTGCCATAAGTCCGAATTGACTCGATGGTGCATGATTATTATTTAATTATTTTGGCACTTAGTACATACAGAATTTCAAAGTTTGACAACCAGTGCATAAAAAATATGAAAAGAGCCTGAGAGAACATGAAATGAAAGAAATACAGAAAAGTTCACTACTAAAAAGCTGAGACTGTAAGCAGGCTCAAAAGGCAAGGAGTGGTCTTTTGGAACCCCTAGCCCCAAGCTCTTTAGCGTACTGTAGGCAATCTAAAATGATATAACTACTAGACCATGGGGGGGGGACATCTGTGTTCCAGATGTTTAGGACGACAGTTCCCAGAATCTGCATTTGCCAGTAATAAAGCATTGTGGGAACTGTAGCCCAAAACACCTGGAGTGCCAAAGATTTGCCATTTTTGGACTAGGAAGTGGTAGTTTCTCATTCAGTGTGAAGGATATAAAGTGTACCATCTTCATGGTAAAACTGCAAAAGAAAAAGCTAATACCAAGTGACAGAACATGGGGCTTTTAATGAGACAATAGGATCTACACTCTGCTTGCCCCTATAGAAAATTCTAAAGCTATTCATATGTGCCTGCTCTTTATGAATGAAAGGAAAAGATGGAAACAATTTTCCTGTCACTGCAGATGGCATGGCAAGTGCCCATCAAGATCTCAAACTGTATCCCTTGATTTGCCTATATTCTATCCTTTTATTCAGTGGAAACCTTGGCCAATGTTACACTGGCTCTGCCTGGGATTAATGATTATTAAGGTGACTTATTTGCTAGTTGTTCCTTATCCACATACAAAGTACTTTGGAACTGGGAACTCTTTAAGGAATGTGTCACACACTGAAGAACAAAGTACACTGCCTTTCTTTTTTTTCAATCTTTTTTTAAAATTTATTTTATTAAAAGAACATCAAACATGGACAACATAAACCTACCACAACAATAATATACAATTACATAATACACCAGTGCCACATTCACCCTCAGGGCTAGTATTAATAATGTTTTCAAATTTCGTTCAAACCATTTTCTCTCCAAAAATTTATCATTTCTTCCTTCGGTGTATACCCCTTCCCTCTCCGAAATACATATTCCAGAAATACATTCCCATGTTTCCTTAAAATCATTACCATCCCCACACAAGAATTTGAGGTTTTTCATGAGTTTGTTTACCTTGGCTCTGACAATCTCTGACACCCTCTCCCTAGAAGTCGAGCTGGATAAATACATTGGCAAAGCAGCTACCACATTCTCTAGACTCACAAAGAGAGTATGACTTAATGAGAAGCTGACGGCATACACCAAGATCCAGGTCTATAGAGCCTGTGTCCTGAGCACACTCCTGTACTGCAGTGAGTCCTGGACCCTTTGTGCATGGCAGGAGAGGAAGCTGAACATATGCATTTTTGGTATCACCTGACAGGACAAAGTTCCAAATAGAGTAGTCCTAGAATGAGCTGGAATTTTTAACATGTATACATTACTGAAACAATGACATCTACGTTGGCTTGGGCATGTCGTGAGAATGGCTGATGGTTGGATTCCAAAATATATCCTGTATGGAGAATTAGTGCAGTGAAAGCACCCCAGAGGGAGACCACAGCTGCGATACAGGGATATCTGCAAGGGGGATCTGAAGGTCTTAAGAATGGACCTCAACAGATGGGAAACCTTGACATCTGAGCGTTCAGCCTAGAGGCAGGTGGTGCATCACGGCCTCTCACATTCTGAAGAGACACTTGTCTAGCAGGCCGAGGCAAAGAGGCACCCTAGAAACCAGCAAAATCAGGTTGCTGAACAGGGAACTAACTGTATTTGTCTTCAGTGTGGAAGGGATTGTCACTCTCGAATTGGCCTTCTCAGCCACAATAGACGCTGTTCCAAGTCCTCTATTCAGAGCATGTTTTCCCAGTCTCTTGAGACTGAAGGATGCCTAATCTAAATCAAAATTATTTTTATAAACCTCTTTTTATTTTCTTATCACATGTCAGTTTATCATTAATTGCCATATCCCATATACCATTCCTCTAAATTAATTTGGTTATCCTTTTTCCATTTTCTTGCAAATATTAACCTAGCTGCCGTAACCATTATTACAATTAAATCCCTATTTTATTTCAGCAATTGATCCTCCTTGGCCATATTCAATAAGGCCAATAACAGGGATATTTGAATATTTAATCCAGCTATTTCCCTTATTTCTTTAAATATCTGCTTACATTCTTTCTTACCACGTAAATACGTCCCCTTCTCTTTTTTACACCTCCAACATAATGATGATAAATTTGTATTTATTGTGTTAGGTACAATACAATTAGTGTACCATAGGTACTCTGCCTTTCTGAGGAACTACAATTATCTCAACTTCTCAAGCAAATCTCATAGGATCTGGAAAACACCTATGTTACTGTTGCATTCCCCCAGCGTCTCGTTTGTTTTCCCTCAAACACAGGTCCACCTTCGGACATGATATACTATTTTACTCCCTTTACACACTGCCACCAGTGGATCTTTATCCACACTATACCACATGTATTTCTTAGACTCGGGCTGCCAAATATAACAGGTTTATTTATTGTTTGATTGGTAAATCACAGAAGTAACATCATAGATGTTCTTTTATTGTTCAGTCATTAAACTTGGATAAGATTACACGTTTGCTTGTTTGTATTCATTCACATTAACCACTGTAACAATATCTTAGGGCTGTCTATCTATTTTCTATTACATTATTCTCTTATCTATTCCCTAACACACACCAATTTTTCAATCTATCTCTTAACCCTACAAACTCTCCTCTCTAACGCCTCTCAGTCTCCAACTGTTCTCCTGACTCTACCCCTCCTGCCCTGCCCTAGAGCTCCCCATGATGGACAGGCGTGGCTTGGGCATTCCACCACAATATCGTGTCATCAAATTCCACCTGACTTATAGTGACTGTAATAGGGATTTCTAGGTAGATATTTTAGAACTGTTCTCCTGACTCTATCCCTCCTGTCCTGCCCTAGAGCTCCCCATGATGGACAGGCGTGGCTTGGGCATTCCACCACAATATCGTGTCATCAAATTCCACCTGACTTATAGTGACTGTAATAGGGATTTCTAGGTAAGGGAGATATTTTAGGATTAGTTTCACCAGTGCCACCTGTCATGAACCAGCGTTCCTCCAGGGAGCGCTGTTCGTTGACCAGAGAGCATCCAGGCATCTGAGTACCCCTTTTCAGCTGGGTGGAGTGCTATTCACCACAGCTAGGGCGTATTGGACGACAGAGGATGAGATGGTTTGACAGTGTCATCGAAGCTACCAACATGAATTTGACCCAACTCCGGGAGGCAGTGGAAGACAGGAGGGCCTGGCATGCTCTGGTCCATTGGGGTCACGAAGAGTCGGACACGACTGAACGACTAAACAACAACAAGGGTGTATCACAGACCCTTTCTCGCAAGTCTAGCCTGAAAGATTCACTCCTGAACTTAATTACACTTAACAAGTACAGGCACCTGGGCTTTGTAGTCTCCCAAGATCTACTAAAGCTCAGAAAGATAGGACTTTGATACTAGCAATCTCGTGACCGTGCAATCCCCCTGGAAGCAGGCTCAGCAGACTTGCTGTTCAAGACCATTCTTAAGGATATTTAAGAATAATTTTTATTTAAAAATAAAGTCTTTATAGATTCAGTTTGTTGCATAAGCAAAGCATGGATTACATTTCAATAGAATATTACAGTTAAATGAATAGCAAGTTCCCGCTAAGTCAAAATAATAAAGCATGGATTACATTTCCATAGAATATTACAGTTAAATAAATAGAAAGTTCCAGCTAAGTCAAAATAACTAACTTCTTAAAAAAGAGGCTTTTCCTTAGGGCAGGCAAAAGGCACAAAGCCCCCCTCTTCTCTCTCTTGCTCCTTACATACCTAAGCTCTTACTCTAAAATAAGAAAAAAGGCAAAGAATAGATCCCAAGCCTCTCTAAAGACCAAGGGAACAATCAACATAGCAAAACCTCCATTTTTCTACCTGCTAAGCACCACCTTTCTTCTTCATCCTTTGAGGAGTTGACCAATCGTGATTTAGGGGTGTCCCTTCTCGTTCCGCCCTCCGTTCCCAAGGGAATCCAGGTATTTTCTTCCTTTAATCTTGGTCCCAATTAGGATGGAAAGTTTTGCCTTCACTCCTTATCTTGTCCTTGCCTTGCTGGGCAGAAGAAACTTTTCTCCCCGTCTCTTCAGAAAATCTGCCCACCGTTCAAAATTAACTTCACACAGAACCATTCTGAATCCATTTTTCTCACAAACCATCTACATTACATGCTTTGTTTAAACCACATATTCCTGATCATGATGCCACCCACTCACCTCTGAGTTTCCACGGCCGAGCAGGGATTCAAACCAAGAGGCTAACTACATGGACTGTTTAACTCCCTGTTCGGAGGGCCCGGCTGGTGTGTACTGAAAGACAGTGGTCAGACCAGACGTCTTTGCTAAGGTGCACCAGCCGGCCCCCCCACAGCAGTGGTCCCCAGCCTTGGAACTCCAGATGTTCTTGGACTACAACTCCCAAAAGCCTTCACCACCTCTGCTGGCCAGGATTTCTGGGAGCTGAAGTCCAAGAACATCTGGAAGCCCAAGGCTGGGGACCACTGCCCCAGAGCATTCCTACCCCCCCACCCCCCACCCCCCCACACACCAAAGCCCTACATCCCAGTTGCCACTGTTCTGGCTTCCTTGTGTTACAATGAAGACATGGAGCTTTCTTCAGCTGCCATCCCTTTCCTGCTGTTCTGTCCTTCCTTTGTTCTCTCCTCTTTCCTTGCTTTGCTGCTCTCGCCCACTTCCCTGAAAGCGAAGTCCCCTGACGGGCCCACTGCTTTCCGCTTAGTTCTCTGAGTCAATCTTGACAGGCTCGCTTTCAAAGTCCTAGCAGGCACCATCCCACGCGTGGGATGGTGGTTCCCAAGGTGAAAGAGGGGACTCGCCAGTGTGTTTTGTAAAAAGGTCTCCTTGGCCACTTCAGAGCAACTCGCCCCCCACCCTTCCTTTGTGGGGGAAAGACTGGCAACGTTTACTCGGATTGCCAAAGTAAACGGGAGACTTCCGCAACGCACGGAGCTCTCGTCGACGGCTTCGCAAGCGGGGGTGGTGGTGGTGGATCGGGCCAGGCGTAAACGAAAGCGAAAGCAGAAACAGCTACACACGGGCGGGCGGACGGGCGAGGCAAAAGGACAGCCGCGGAGCCGACGCTTTTTCGTGCCATCGCCGCGAGGCTCCGGGTGCCATTTCCGAGCAGCCATGGCACAAAGGAGCCAAGCCCTCGGGTGAGAGCCTTCGCGCCTTCTGCTTCTCTCGGCCGGGCGCCCTTCCCGTCTTTCCATCCGTCCCTCCGTTTTTTCTGAGGGTTGGCTCCGCGCCTGGCAAGCTGTAGCCCCCGCGGGACTCAGCCTGTTTGGCCTTGTGCTTTTTGCAGAACTGCTACGGAAAAGGAAGGGGGAAAAGCCTGCTGGATCGAACCTTTGGTGTGTATGTGTGTATGTTGGCGGGTGTGTGTGTGTTGAAATTCTGCTGCGTTTTGAGACGTTTACACGGGGCCTCTCCGCTTGGTCAGAGATGTTCCCCTTCCTGATTTACAAAGGCAGGCGTTTATGGAGTCCATTCTAATCTAATCCCACATTGTTGCCTTCACCCGAGGTGGGTGACCTTTAGTTCTTGGACTACAACGCCTATAGTCCTTTATTATTGGCTGCGGAGACTGGGCCTTTCGGGAGTTGAAGGCCACTGGTCTGGAACTGACTGGGAAACTGCTGAAGTTAAATTCTAGGCTGAGCAAATACCTTTATTGGATTTTTAAGAAGTTACCAACAGCTTTAGGTTTCTCAAGTAACCTACACCAGGCAAAGTTGGTGATGAACTGGGTGTGTCTGTGTGTGTTTCAAGCAAAATATCCAATCTGAGAACTCTCTATGTCCCTTCTAGTGGAATGATCAAGATGTTACCCTATCAAGAACTTTGCTTCTGTGAATGGACCAACAGCTACTTGGTGTAGATGCTGAAGTTGTTTCTTTATCCCCAGCTCCTTATCTTTTATAACCGTTTCTGTTTTTCCTAACAGAATACAGACTCCCTACAATTACGGAAGTATGAATCCGATACCTGCGCAAGGGACATACGGTATGCATATTAAGATGTTATCAACAACATCCGCAACATTGCAAGTTTGACCTATTGTGAATTGCACTTAGATTTTACTTAACAGTGCACATCCTTACTCACCTAACTTGTACCTAAACCCTACTGAACACATTGGCTCATGTTCTGTTTGAGGAAACTATTCACATAACTGTAGCTGTACAATGAGTCCCTGTCCTCATTGTGTTCCTGGGTGTGTGACCTTTTTTCAACCGTGCAAGAGAGTGTGATGGAAGGTCAGCTATGCAGGTAAGGTGACTTACACAATTGAACATTTGTGCTGTGTGATCTTGTAAGATCGTGGCTAATGGGGTTTCTGATCCTTATGGGTAGGATGGCTTTCTGGGTTTGTGTGTTGAAGTAATGAACAGAATACATTTGGACTAATTATCACCCCTCTTTCCTGAAAACTTGAATTGTTACCTTTTTTTGTTGAACATGCATTAAAATGGAGAATGTAATGGAACTTTGTCTATTAGCACAACAAGATCTGTAATAGATGAAACTAGGATTATAGTTCTTTTTGTCGCCACAGATCCTTGCTGTGTATCTGTAACAGTGCCAAGCAGCAATCCAATTCTGTTCTGGTCAAACTGATGTGTGTAACTAGTCTTGAACTAGGATGAATATTCTCATCTGCATTAGATATATATACAATATCCTGAAAGTTTCCACTGGCAGAACACTGTGATGCTGTATGATCTTGCTGAATGTCACAGTTATGGTCAACTAACTCTTCCTGTTAGTTGACCATAACTGTTGTGTGATAAGGAGGAAATCATTCCTGGATGCTCAGTAATCACATGGTGGAAAAGTATGACAATAGTATTTTATGGTGCACCAAGGCAACAGTATTTTACAGTTTTCTGTTATCTGTCTTTGCTCTCTAGATTTCATCCCTGGTGCGGGAATGGCCCAAGGCCCAGAACCTTCTGCCCCTCCTATCTCTGGCTATGAAGGCACCACATTTGGAGATGGTGGCAAGTACACTTTGTGGGCGATGCAGCTGCAGTAAATTCTAGTCTACAAACGGCTTGTAGCTTCTGATGTGATAAATATGGCCGTCTTTAACATGCTTTAAGAGGCCTTGTTTGTTTCACAAACCATTCTAGAACAGCTGTGTCATAGCTGATGAATAATTACAGTGGTGCCTCGCTTAGCGATTGCCTCATTTAACGATATATTCGCTTAGCAATGAGGTTTTTGGAGTGATTTTGCGCTCCGTTTAGCGATGTTCCCTATGGGGAAATTTTGAATAGCGATGTTCGGGACCTTGCCTCGCTTAGTGATGACAGTTTAGGTCCCCCTGTTTCGCTTAGTGATGTCCGTTTTCACTATTTTAAGTGTGTCAAACCTACAGTTCAATGCATTCCAATGAGGGGGGGGGAAATTCACCAAAAATTAACAAAGACTCAGAACAAAGCCAGATTGAGTTTGCAAAGGTTTTACAAGGTGCACTAACGATCCCAAGCATTTAAAACAGTTTTTGAACATTTTAAGACACTTTAAAAATAGCGAAAACGGTCCTGTCAAAACCATTGAAATGCATTGAATAGGCTTCAATGCATTCCAATGGGGGAAACATTGTTTCGCTTAGCGATGTTTCCTATGGCGATTTTCGCTTAAGGACGGTAATCCGTTCCCATTGGAACGGATTATCCGGTTTTCAATGCATTCCTATGGGAAATAGTGTTTCGCTTAGCGATGTTTTCCCATAGCGATGCGTGTTTTTTTTTTTGAACCAATTAACGTCGTTAAGCGAGGCACCACTGTATTTCAATCTGATGGACTTGTGTCAAGATTAGACTGTGTTAGAGGGGCCTGAAGCTACACTGCCCAGAGTTTCCCAATGTGGGTAAGGACTTGTGTCAAGATTAGACTGTGTTAGAGAGGCCTGAAGTAACCACTAAGCTACACTGCCCAGACTTTCCCAATGTGGGTAAAATTCCAGGAGGGGCAGATATGCTAATGGCTGGCAAAAATCTTCCTGCCAGGTACCTCTCCTGACACCTTGAGTCACTCTGACTACTCAGTGCTCTAGGGAGTTACTAAAAATGTAAGCTTCTTTGACCTTTATGCTAACCCTGCAAAGTAGGACAACCAAAATATCCACAGAATGCAAAGGCACCCATTAGGTGGTTGAGCAAGGCCTTTCTTTAGTACCCCAAACCCTCCTTTCCCCCAAAAAAGAGAACCAAGCTGCATTAAAATATTATATTCTATTAAAGATGTCGAAGGGAAAAGACAAAATAAAGTTTTCAAATAGTTTTTTAAAAAATCACAAAATGGTGAAAAAACTGGAGAAAACAAGCATTCAAAAATGGTTTGAGGTAAGAACACTTCCAGAACAGATTCCACATGAAAATAAGAAAACAAGCTGTCCTAGGCTAATACTTTTGCATATTGAGAAAATGTCAGCAAAACTTCAGAGTGTACACATAGGTCAGACAGCAAGGTAACAGTTGAACTCAGGAGTCTCCTTAGAGATACTAGAGGAAAACTAAGTAACATCTCTCTTACTTTCATACCCATCATACCATTTTCTGGACTCTGTGAGGGTCTGCACCAATCATGTGTTGAATCCGGAACCTTCTAGAACAGTGGTTCCCAACCTTGGGTAACACAGATGTTCTTGGATAACAACTCCTGGAAACCACTGTTCTAGAAGAAACAAGTTACTTCTCAATAGTAACTTCTCTCCCCTTCCTCCTCAGCTGAAATTATTCCTTGCTAATTTGCTCTGTACCAAGGAGTGGGCCTTGGAGATTCCTTTCTCACAGCAGTCAGGCAAAGAAGCCTATAAATTAATGGGCCTTTTTTTTGCTCTTCTCATGGCCTGCTCAAGCCAGGCGCAAACTATCAGGCCTGTGTTTCAAAAGGGCAGCCCAAACCACAATCCCCTATTTTCCAGTTTCTTGACAAGTTGCGTGATCACACCATCCAGCTTTTCAATAAGGAGCAATGTAGCAGTTAAAACATACTGGTAGGATCAAATTACAGTGGTGCCTCGACTTACGGAATTAATCCATATTGGAAGGGTGGCCGTACCTCGAAATTTTCGTAAGTCAAAGCACCGTTTCCCATAGGAACACATTGAAAAGCGATCAATCCATTCCGGCAGAAGAAAAAAAAACCCCTCCAAAAAATGACCACCACCGCTGGGGAAGCCCAGGCTTCCCTGCTGCCATGACCGCCGAGGTTCCCCGCCTCCCCACCGACCCATGGTTTAGAATCCTAAACCATGATTGGGAATGAAAGAATGACCTCTGATGGGCCTCAGGCTCATTTACTCTTTCTTCTCCTTTCTGGTGCTACTGCAATGGAAAAGAAATTGGGAGCTGTTTTTTTTTTTTTTTTTTCCAGACTCATCATCGCAGTTTAGTGTCTCACCTGAGCCCTTATGATTAACCTTTGAAGAACTTGGACACTTGTTGCTCCTGGCAGGGGACAAGATTCTAAACTGATTATTCCCCAAATCTTTTTTCTTACTCTCACCTTTTCATTTACAGGAGGAAAATATTTCCCTCCTCCGCCTGATTTGGTCCCTGATCGTGGAGGCAATGCACATCCAGAACATACAGACTGGAGGTAAGGTCTACCCATATTACAAAGAGTTGTCCCTTTTTGCTTATATATAAACAAATATTTTTGTTTATATATCTATTTTGCTTATAGAGAGTTTTTTTAAATCCTTTTACAGTGGACCCTTGACTTACAGACGGCTTGACTTACAGACTTTTTGAGTTACAGACTTCTCTGGCCGCAAAATTTAGGTTTGACTTGCAGACTGAGATTTGACTTACAGACCAGAAAAAAACCAAAATGGAACAAAAACGACCTGTTATGGGATTAATCGGTTTTCAATGCATTGTAGGTCAATGGAGACTTGACTTACAGACTTTTTGACTTGAGAACCGCCTTCCAATACGGATTAAGTTCTCAAGTCAAGACCCCACTGTAAAAAAAAGGAAAAAAAAGAGTTCGTAACTCGAATCTAAGTTCATAAGTCGAGTCCATATATTCCTATGAGAGCAGTTCGTAAGTCGAAGCGTTCGTATGTCCGTCCGTTCGTAAGTCGAGACCCCACTGTACTCTGGGGGGGGGCAAATCTTGTATATGTCTGTGAATTTATTTTAATTTGCTTCTGTTTTTGTAATGTCCTGGTTTCTGCCTAGCCTTGTTAGAATATGATGGTCTTGGGTTTATAATAATAAACTAAAATGATATTGTTCAGATTTGTGGTCTGGATTATGTTTATGCAACAAGAGTATGAAAATGAGCACCCCAGTTTTCTATGAAAGCTAGGGGAACTCCATTCAGTATTCCCCAGCCAACCGGATAAACCAAAATTTGGACTCAATTCACTCTCTGGAAACTCTGGCCACAAGTATGGAAGCAAAGTTTATCACGATTGCCAAGAAACGAAACAAAATGAAACCAGGAAAATCAAAACGAGCAGGTCATGAGGTTCTTCCACAAAACTAAGAACTTGTAAGCAGCAGAGAGAAAAGAGGAAGCCAGGACTATACCGTGATCTCCATAATGAGCCAGAGAAGCCTGTTCATTCTCTTATGTCGACAGTTAGAAGTGACTGTTACAACATCATGTTCTTGCTAGATCTACCAGAGAAGCCTGTTCATTCTCTTATGTCAACAGTTAGAAGTGACTGTTACACCATCATGTTCTTGCTAGATCTAAATAATCATGAGCAGATCTGAGTGATAGTTTCATATAAACCAAGCCCAACATATGCCCAGCCTCTCAATAGGGTAATTTGTTCAAGCATGAAATGACTTCTGTGGTCAACATTCACTTCCATAAATAGTCTAACTTAAAAGTCAAGTGTATTGTTTCGTTTCCAGCATTACTGGGGCTTCTGACCCAGTGAAATCGTAGTGGTTATTTCTTCTGTGTCAGAAGATCTGAGTGACTTCTAGCCTCATCAGCAAGGTAGCCTTGTTCTTTTCAAAGCACAAGAACTTAGGTTTCTAGAAGTAAGTGTCTGTGGAGGCCCTTGAGAAGTGTGAGAAGTTTGTGATGTTACTCCTACTCATTTTTGCTTTCTTCAGTATTCCTGCCATTACAGAAGATGAGGCCCAAGAAGCTTTGGTTCAATATGCTGCAAGCAAATGCTGCTATAGCTCAGCTCCAGCCAAAGACATGCTATTTCAGGATCTACATTCATTCAATACTTACAGGGTAAGTCCCATGCATCTGCTCAGGCCAGTCCCATAGTGTCTTTTCAGAAGGAAGTTTCATGGAGTTTTTTTTCCAAGGATGTAGTCAGGGATTACATCCTAAGTTTCTTTGTAAAAATTATGGCCGTCCTCATATATGGAGATCAGTTTTTCTGAACATTGTCAAATTATACCTAAACATTTTCAGTTCAGTCTTCAAATATTAAGAATCGGTGCCACAGATGCCCTTATTTCAGCAGTGGAACACGTGGCTTGCACACCAACTAAGTCCTCCACTCAACCCTGACTATCTACAATTAAAAGATTACAGGTAGCAAGTGCTGGTAATGTTTACTTCCTTAGTCTTTGAAGATATGATACTAATCAGACGAGGTAGTAAAGAGTGAGATGGACCAATGAGATGGCAGCTTCAAATGAACATTGCATTGTGAATTAACGAACTCCCAAGCTATCTTTTGTTTTTATTGCAGCAATTTATATATTGCTATATATATAGGTGACCTTTGCAGTTTCTTCCAACTCTACAATTCCATGCTTCTACATATGCTCATAGTTGCAGCCTGGAACAGTTACTTTTTTTTTCAACATTACCAAACAGTGTCCATCATCCATATTTTTGGCCTACCTAAAGAGGTATAAAGAGGATAGTTTACTATATCCAATTATTGCATCGTTTCTTATTGGACATACCATGAGCTTCTTGTAACTGATGTGTATTTATAGATTTCTTGTCTGAGATTTTGCAACACATTTTTTTGTATATAAGAATGAATATTATACATTGATCTTCTTATACATGAGTATGTGCCATCCTCTATAGCAGTCGTTTTTAACCTTTGTTACTCGGATGCTTTTGAACTGCAACTCCCAGAAACCCCAGTCAGGACAGCTGGTGGTGAAGGCTTCTGGGAGTTGCAGTCCAAAACTCCTGAGTAACCCAAGGTTAAGAACCAATGCTCTATAGCACCATTTGGAATTATTACTTCCATATGGTTGTTGTGAATACATAACATGTTGTTACTCTCTGTAAATAAAGGGGAGTTAGCTATTTCCTAAATGTGATTACAAGGCTCGTTATACTTCCTGTGGATATTTCTACAGATCTACAGGTTTTTTTAAATGGGAATGAGTTGCTTCTTATTTAATTGTTGCAAATGATTTCCTAGTATCGTTTGGAGACCTTCACTGAATCAAGGTCCTCTTTGTGGAAAACAGAACCGTATACTGGTGAGTTGTGCTCTTTTAAGAACGTGGGCTCTCCTTCTGCTATAGACTTAACTGGGAGGATAATGTAGGAATAACTCCTTTTTAAATATCAAACTGCAAGTGTAAGTTATAATAAGCCCTATTACAGAATAATACTGTTCCGCTGTGTAGCAGTAAAGATGATAGGACATTGGTCAGAAATAGGCAAGACATTGGTATTTTTGGCCGCCTATGGTATCCACTATTGGATTTTTCCATTTCTGGACATTTATTACTGGAGTAATGGAAGAAAAATCCTGAATTTTCCTCTAGGAGAGGACGACATCCACAAGAGACAGTGTTGTCCCTCCTATTCGCTTCCACAGGCAGAAGTGACCAGCAAATCAGCTGGTAGTAGGACTGCCTTAAGAGGAAGGGACCAACCGTGGCTTAATCAGTGTCAGTTTCTGCCAGTGCTTCGTACAGGCCTGACTCAGTGTTGTCTTCAGGTCACTTCCTCTCAGTCATCTCTGTTTAGGTGGCTGATAGCATTTGTGCTACCAGAGTTTTAGTTCAAGGCTGTCGCGAGGCATCCCTGCCCACGTCTCCTCGAAATGTCGCCGCCTCAACCACATGTTGTACCAGCTGTGCACTGGAGGAAGTTTGCAAGGTGGCCACTTGGAAGGTGCATGAACTGCTAACCTCAGCTAAGGTAGTGTTGGGGAAAGAGTCCTTCAGCAGGTAAAAGAGCTTTCCAGAGTCCAACTCAAGTGGTCTATAGGCCTGTAGGTGAATCTCTCCTGGGCTCCATCTTAGCACATTAAGCTTTGGGCAAATCCCATCTCTTGAGGATGTCCTCCTCTGTTACAGGAAAAAAGGAAGACTGGTACTCGCCATGAGATGTTCATTTTATGTAGCAGGAGGAAGACATCCTTCCCCTCCCTTGAGTTACTATGACCAGCTCCTCTGAGGGGCACCTACCATGTCTGTTTTTTCTCAACTGTACTGTATTGTTTATATTATTCCCTGGCTGGAGACGAAGACTGGTTCAGCCAGGGTTGGTCCTTCCGGGTGGCTGGAGACGAAGACTGGTTCAGCCATGGTTGGTCCTTCCGTCTTAAGGGAGTCCCACTGCCACCCGATTGGCTGATTAGTTCTGCCTGTGGCCGTGAGTAGGAGGGACAACCCCATCTCTTGGGGATGTCTTCTGTCTGCTACGTAAAATGAACAACACACAGTGGGTACCAATGTTCCTTTCTTGCTAAATATTTCAAGTTTCTACACAATATACAATTTTTAAGACAGTGTGTCAAGATGGTGTGTGACATGCATTGCTGTCTACTTAGGGGATTTAAGCAAGAACTGTCCTATAAACCTATGGAAAGTGGTGCCGTTGTAGATGATTTTATGTAGATCAACATGAGCAATGGATTGTAAAATAGTAAATAGTTCTGCAGCCGCAAAGAACCAGATAATAATATTGAAAATGAACTCACACCAATTTCAGCTCAGTAATCCAGGTCGTTGTCTAATTCTGTCTCAACTAGCATTTCTTGCACACAGGAAATATGCTTCAAGCCTATTATTGACAGCATACAAGCAAACTGGAGTTTCAGCTATTCATTACAAGTAGGAAAATGTGTGTTTTTGTGTATATGAAATAAAAGACATTTTATTAAAGCTAGGATGGCTTTATTGGCCTGATAAAAACAAAAACCTAGTTCCTGGCAAGCCGTAGTTATTAAATAGTTTAAATGGGAAGCCATAATACTTATTTTATGCATAGTTTATGTTACTTTCCATGTAACCTCGAGCTATGGTTTATCCTAAGAGAGTACAGTGGAATATGATAGAGAAATGAGGGGATAGGACTTCACAGTTCTGCTGCCGGCTCCCATTTGCAAAGAGTGGTTTGTATAGGAGTCAGCATAATATCTGAATTGAGCCAGATATTTTGTTCTGTCTGTTTTAATGTCTTGAAGTTTGCTAATTATTTTATTCAGGATGACCCCAGCTGATAGCTTGATGTAAAGCTAAAAAATAGTTCAAGCCAGCTTTCTTCTGCCTTAGGTGAAGCAGTAGATTCCTGTTTGTATAGCACACCTCCTTTACCTTGGGATATGAATGTTGAAGTTCCTGAGATGTTCAAAGACAGTGTCAAGAGAGTCAGAGTGCCTTGCACATCATCAGTTAAGGTATACAGCTAACATACATAAATACGATTGCATATAGCAAGGGTGGACAACATCAGTTGGGGGCCAAAATGACTCATCAGCTAATTTACTTTTTCCTTTTACATACATACATACATACATACATACATACATACATACATACATACATACATACATACATACATACATACATACATACAGTGGGGATATGGTAAGCCAGCTCCTCTATAGGCCCTTTTGTTTCTAGTGGACCTACAATACTTTGATTGCAGCTTTCTTTAGCATAGTAAATTGAAATTATAGTAATTCCATTTGAATTAAAGGAATTTGAGGACAAATTTAGTTATTAAATTTCCACTGATTCAGTGCAACAGGATTTTGATCAACACCTCAGTACTTAATGAATAACATATTTTTAAAATGTAAAATCCCTCCCCTCTTCTCATTCTGTGAAAATGAAATTTGTCCTACCAGCAAAATCATTCACTGAGTAATTTCCATTATTACCATATTTTTCCATTTATAAGCTGACCCGCCCTTTTCTAACCCCAAATTAGAAAAAGCAGGGATCAAAGGCCTCCCTTTTTGCTAAGCCCCATGCCAAGGCAAAAGGCAAGGCAAGCGGCTGTCACAGTGATTGCTACTTTTGCTTGCTTTTTGAGAAGGCACGGAGCTTAGCAAAAAGGAGGGGAGCAACGCTTCCCCGTCCTTTTTGCTAAGCCCTGTGCCTTCGCAAAAGGCAGCAGTAAGCTGCCTTCTGTGTATAAAATGACCCTCATTTTTTCTCAAATTAGTTAAGGAAAAAGTGTCATTTTATACACAGACAAATATGGTATTTTAGGTATTTACGTTTACTCTAGTTAGGAAGCAGCATCGCCATGAGAGAACTGCACATCTGTGATTCTTCAGTGGTTACTAGTGCCACAGATTTAAGCCTTTTAATTAACTATTAACACTTAAGCGGTTAAATAGCAAAAGATTAAATCCTCCAATCAGTAGTCAAGGTTAATGGAACAGAGCTATTGGGGAAGTAGTTGGTAGGAGTAATTGAAATTTCCCTGCTTAAATTCATGGTGTCAGAAAACCAGCATGTGGTTTGATTGAGCCCCCTCCATAGACTCTGCAGTTTACCACTGAATTTCAGCAGCAAACCATTACTGTGGGGCACTGGGGATCCTGGGAGGCACTGAGGGGAAGCAGAAAATGGCTTGGGGGCTATATTGACCCAAGGACAATACATGACCCATCCCTAATTTGCAGAGATCTATACATTTTGGGTGGTCTTGGTGACAAAGTCTAAGTCTGGAGCCTCCAGGACCCTGTTTGTTCTCTTCAGTACAATGTGGAGGTTGTACTGGGGGCTTGTGTTGCTGTTGGGCCATAGTGCTCCTTAGAGAGCATGAATATTCAGTTGCCAAAATGACCCGGCTCAGTTCTCTTTCTAGCCTGGGGAAGAAGAGAGATGCAAGGTTTTCATGGATTTTATACTGAACTTTCTGATGTTTGGTGTGTGTTAGCCCTCTGTCATGTTTCTTGCTAGAGGGGGGACTAGATTGCCTTTTATTGCCATTACTAGAGGACAAAGAAACAACTGCTGTGAGATGATGATCGTCATAGCATGGTAGTAACAGTGTTGTTAAAAGCTGTAAGGAAGGAAGAACAGTGAGAACAAATTCAGTTTTCAATTGTTAGCTGCTGCCATAAACAGGAAATACAAAAGAGACGGAACCCCTATGAATTTACTAGGTGTAACAAAAGTCTCCCTGAGTGTAAATTCAAATATGGGTGTTTCATAAAAAGACTTAAAGGGGAGGATTAATGACATGGTAAGAAACAATGGTCAGACTCCTACAATATAAATGATAGTGCACAAGGTTAATGATATCACAAGCAGGAGTAGATTGCTGGTCATTAAAGAGTCCTCTTTTCAATTCTAAAGTTTGCACAACCCTCCCAAACCTTGCCCACCATCAGTCTCATTGTAGGCATGTTGATGAAGCCACTAAGCAAACATTGGGGCAGCTTACTTCTTAAATTCGAAGCTAGGCCATGAAGCCTCCATGCCAGGCCTTTCTCCAGGTGAGCCATATTTAAGTGTCCGTTGAAGTAGAACTTCCAGAATAGATATTTCTGGGAGTTGAAGTCCCCCCCCCCTCCAAAATATCCAAATGGACTCTCCCCACTGAGAAATAGGAAGGTATACTACACAAAATATGGTTAAGGCAAGTGAAATGGAAAGTCAGTGCTCTTAAGGGCCATTGCCTACTCTGAGACTAATTAACTATATTTCTAGTGAGATTGTGATTGCTGTATACCATTACGTTGCCTCTAACACAGGGTGATCCAACAAATGTGTGAACTCTAAAATGTCTGATCATTAAGAACTAGTCAAATGAGACCTGCTTAAAAGCAAATAATTATGTTTTGATGGCTTTTTTGTTCTTTTATTTGAAGGGATGCCCAGTGTGTGCATGTTCAGGTAGACGTCCTTGCAGCACATGCCATGGCTGCTCTAGAGTAAGTGTTTGTGAATAAAGCACATGTCTTGCTTAGCATATTATTGTGATGTAAGACCATAGATTGAAAAATGAAGGGACAGGTGTTTTTGAACTGGTGTAGGAAGTAAATGGCTGTTTCTTGCAACATTGGAGTTCTAATTTCAGATCAATCCCAGGGTTATTCCAACAGCTCATCTCTGCTTCCTTAGACAAACTAAAATAAAATCTCAGAAGTGCAAACCAGCAAGTCAATTGGAGTTTGAGCCAGTCAGTGCACTAGACATAGAGGTCTCTGTTATTTTACACTCATTAATTATATCATGGATTTTTAGTCCAGTCCTCAAAGCTCAAACAGTGGTGATCACGATGCAGTAATCTACATGTTAAATGTAAAATTATATAAGTGATAAATAAAATGAAAAATTGTTGTAAAATACATGTGTGGAAACAAAGGTACCAGCCTGTTCCTAGCTGGTTAAGACGCTTTGGTCCATTAGTTTAAAATACCAAAACTCAATTTTTAACATCACACTTGGGAGGCATGCATTGAATATTAAATTAAAATTTACCTTATTGCAAAACATAGAAATGTGACTGATGGGTGTGGATCTAAGGACTGGATTGTGGCTGTAGTCATGGTATGTTAAGTTGTTTGTTTGCTTGTTTTTATATCCTGTCCAACTAGTAGCTGAGCTACTACTCTGAGTGATTAACAAAAGGACTTGTTGTTGTGCACCGAGGACACTGTGAAGTTACTAACCCCTATACTAATAAACATTTTGTTTGGGAAATCATGTGAAATTCTGATTTAATTAGGAGTGTTCATTAATTCAACAGGAACAGTGCTGGGTATGTAATGGAAAAGGATTCCAGTTTAGTGATCAGAGATGCAGCAGCTGTGGTGGAATTGGAAATATCATGTACGTGAATCATGTTTATGAGACCTGTTCAGTGTTTATGGGCTTGAAGCATTGCATGATTGGAGAATTGCCATGCTTGGTTGTCTGGTCTTGGACTGAATAGTTTTATAAGCTCAAAGTGACTTTGACTTGAGGTTTAATTATAAACAATATTTACTGTTTTTAGTATAATATTTGCATAATATTTGTTTAATTCTTGGGTCCTGAGACGATCATGGACTAAAACTCCCTGAAGCCTTAAGCACTAGCTTGCTGGTCAGAATTTCTGGGAGTTGAACATTTGAGGGCATCTGGGGATCTGAGGTTGGGAATCGCTGGTTTAATTATTTTGTTCCTGCACTGAGCAGGGAGTTGGATTCGATGGCTTTATAGCCCCTTCCAACCTCATGATTCTATGAATGCGTTCCTAATATTTGTATACTTGCTGTTTTTAACTTTTCACTACTGTCTTTTTAATGTGAGCCACCTTGAGTCCTTTTCTAGGAGAAAGGTGAGGTATAAATAAATAAATGAATGAATGAATGAATGAATGAATGAATGAATAAATAAATAAATAAATAAATAAATAATCTCTTCCAAATAATATGGGGTAGGAAATCAAACTGTTAAAAAAGTTGCTCTAAGGGTATGGTTCAGAATAGCAGTCTTTCAGTCAAATGATAAGCCATTGACAGAACTGAGAAATATGTGTAAATATGTATCTCTTGATAAATATGTTGATGGGTTGTCCCCAAGAAGACGACCAATGTTCTTACCACATTTCTTGACAGGTGCCGTACATGTTCAGGTATGGGAACAACAGCATGCACCAATTGCAAAGGAAAAGGACAGTTGTTGCAATACATTGAACTTCAAGTTGAATGGCAAGTCTCGCCAATATTTAATATGGTGGGAGGGAGAGGGAACATTTGGCTTTGTTGCCCACCTGTTTTTTTTTTTTCCCCCAAGGATGGCTGTTTGGGCCTGACTTTTGGTTTGCCAAGTAAAAAGATCTTTGGTGTAAGGGCAATCCTGTGGAACTGGGCTTGAGAGCTGTATTCAACGTACATTGGCTATGCAATGAGAAATGAGGCCATGATAGTGATCATCAGTAGTATCATAACTGATGTGACTTTCTAATTTATAAACACAAAGAACCCCAAAGGAGGAACACCATCTCACGTAACTGCATAATCTGTGGTAAATCTCGGAGGTTGGGGTGGGCTGTTGAACCCCACATTGAACTTTACAGGTAACCGTTTGAAAGAGCTTGGTATGACAGAATTACCTCATACACTGTGAAAATAAGAAAAAGAAGACATCATGGCAACAGTTGTCTTTTGTCTTCCCAGGAAGAATAACGTTTTTGAACATGTTGTGGACCAAAGAACTGGATTTCCTACTGAACTCTTCAAAGAAGTTAATGGGAAGAAGTTGTTTGTCGATGAACAATATATGGTAAAGAAGCATTTCAATAATAGCAAAACATCCAGAGGGGCTTTAATATCTACAGATACAATCTGTCCCATCAGATCAACCCATTCATATTTTATAATGTTGCACCTGAGCTGCCCAGGAGGCAAATTCTAGATTCTCTGAAGTGCTAGGAGTGGCTGTACATCCCACGGCCAGAACAGGTAAACCCAGCTTTCCTCTTCAGCTCAGGAAACTTTCCAGGTTCGAGAAGATGGACCAAGTGTGCAGGGTGGTTTTTATTTAAATGGTGTATATCACCTCTTGCTAGAGTATACCATGCGGTGCAGAAGCAGTCTGGATTATATAATCCCATATTTCCACCAGTGATTTCCTTTCTGTTCGTAGCCCGTATTTAAATGGAGTTTTAGGAGCCCACCATAGTTTGTGGCTCCCTGGCATAATTAAATAATGGTCGCCCCCTTCTTGTTCATTGGTGTGGGCTTTTTATATCCATAGGTTTATCCAGTGGTAGATTTTCCTGATAATGACATCAATCAAGCATCCCGGAATGCCGTTCAACAGCATCAGACTCGTTTTGCTTCCACAGCTCGCATCGTGAGGCAGGTGAGCACAGTGAAGATTCTTTAATTCTTCAAAAAACAAATGGGGAAGATCCTCTGTTTCACATTTGTGGGATTGTCCTTCTCTGTCTATGATTTAAAATGCCAAGAAATGATCTGATACTGGTACACAGTATTGTGCCCATGTTGCCAGTAGGGAAAAGGATGTGAAACTTTATATAGCAAAGTCTAGCCTGAATGTTGACAACACTCAATGGTAGCAGACAAGATGGTCTACAGGCTCCCCTCTGGTGCTCTCTACCATTCACAAAGAGACACCAAACAAAAGAAAACCCCAGAAGCTGACTCTTCCCCTCCTGCCCCCCAGTTAACTGCTTCACAGACCAACACAAAGCAATTGTCAGGGATGGTTCTCAACAAGTTCTTTGTGTATGTGTTCCTTGGAAAATATGGATCATCATCAAGTTCTATGATGATATATCTGTTGGGGGGGCAGTTGACATTCATGTATACATTTAGGTGATCAGTCACACTCATAAGCAAACTGGTCCTTGGTTACAGATGTGTATGTGGCTTTGTCTTTACGTTTTAGATCATTTGGGCTTTGCAGATACAGAGATGGAGGTCTTTCCTCGTCTCATCTGCATCAGGAAATCATCTTTTCCCAAAGGATAATTGCTGTATTTCACCACTGTCTCCACAAGCAGTATAGCATAATGATGATCTTAACTGAAATGTGACATATCTCTAAGCAACAGGCAAACATTTGTCCAGGGACTTTTTGTTCACCATAAACTGCAGAACTGTCCCCATCAGTTCCATTCTTAAAATGCTGAAAGCGCACATTCCTGATGCCTACAGTCTTGTATGTTGTAGAGCTGGGAGACAATTTTGCTTGCGTTTGTTCACCTTCCTCAGTTTCTCTAAAAAGTTCATCAAATGTGAGATGTGGCTTATCTCCAGTTCTTATCATAGCTTTTATTTTATGTCTAGCATGTACTACCCGGAAAGCTGAATATTAGTGGTCAACATCAAAGCTGCTAGTATTGGAAATAGGCCAATGGGCTAATGGCCTTCTAGAGATTTAGGGACATAAGCTGTCATATGGAGTGACTGCTGTCTTGTCATTGTGGCAGTGCTCCCAGTATGAGTCTTGCAAGTCAACTAAATGTGCAGTTTACTGTGCAATTAATTACGATGGGTTATCCATGGCTGAGGGTTTTTTCATTCCTCAAGGCTTCCAGCCACTGTGTTATGCTTAACATCAGTGCTGTTATGTAACACCAGCCACTGTCTTATGCCATAATGATGCTGTTATTTAGTGATATTATTAGGCAATCCAACACAAATTATGGCCAAAGTCCTGTTAGTATAATAAATCAAGCTAGAGCAGTTCCATTGAATCAGTAGGGATTTGGTGAGTCAACGCCTTGATAATTTCCATGGATTCAGTGGGCCTTTTCTAGTTTGATTATGCTAAGCAGCAGGATTTTGGCCTATATATACTACTAATACATATTGGCTACATGCTAATAAAATATTGGCTTCTTGAGCCTTCGGAATTCTGCTTCATAGACAGGTTTTGCCCCGTGAAATGTCATATTTCCTCTGCTGACCCTTCTGTAGGCTGCGTCAATGAAAATTAGATGATTGTGTCTGTCACGACCAAGGTGGTAAATCAAGCTTTAGGCTGCTGCCGTCATCATGCTTGGGTCCTTTTGGAGAGAAAGGCGGCATAAAAATGTTTTAAATAAATAAAATGATAAATCAATGCTGTACTAGTACATAGTTCCCATAATCTAACCAAAGTATAGGACACTTTTCATGTTTAGAAATCAATCACAGTCTAATACTTAAAAAACAGAGTCAAGCATGTTCTTGTACTTCAGGAGTGAGTTTTAATGACAAATTAATCCAGAGTTGAAAGTTGCGGTTTGGACCTTAAAGTGTCATCTTTGCTTTTTTACAGAGGCAGACGATTGAGCTCATATTTCTTACTAAGGTGGAATACGAGTGGCGTGGAAAATCCCATTCCTATTATGTGTATGGAAATGAGCACAGGGTGCATGTAGAAGATTACCCTGCAACTTGTTGCTGTACCATCATATGATTCATAGATTATTCAAACCACTGTAAAGAAAACTTTCTTTGTTATTCTGCATCATTGGTCCCTTGCAGCCCTGCATTGTTTAAATGACTGATAGAAGAATGATGATATGCGAGTGTGTCGTGTAGTGGATAGAGTAACAAATTAGGAGTCCAGAGAACAGGGTTTGAATCCCACTTGGTCATGGACACTCACCGGGGTAACAAAATTGGTACAACCACTCCTTAAATATCTAAGGTACCTTGAAAACCTTATTAGGGTCACTGAATTGGTAAAACCACTCCTTAAATATCTAAGTTACCTTGAAAACCTTATTAAGGTCACTAGAAGTCAGTTCCAACTTGATAACACATAACACACACACACACACAAGAATGATGGAAGACTATGCCTTTGTAAAAGTATCACAGCATAATTATCCAGCTTGCTTAAAAAGTTACGGAACTCCAGGAATGTATTTTGCATGAAGTCTGATGCTCAGTTGAACATGTCATTCTGTTTCCTTTGTAGGAAGGAAATGTTTACATAATGATTTACACCTTATATCATTATATACTTGGTTAGGGCTTTATATATTATAATCTTGGAATATATATATGGCTTTTGCTGCCATTGTAGGGATAACAAACAGAATCATTTTCAGATTTTTATTTTAATTATTGTATTTTCTTACCCTGTTCTATTGGAAATTAGACCCAATAAAGTGTGTTGATTCTTCATATGTCTTATGTTAACATTGGTAGTCCAGTGGTCTTGAAGTCTGTACAATTAAGCATTAAAGATGATTTCTCTCCTTTTATCATGGTTATGTGCCAAAAATTATGCCAGTGGCATCGCTGCTACAGAAAAGGGTGTCTTTGACGCACATAGGAAGTGCAATAAGCCTTCAGGAAAGTACTGGCGGAATGAAATTTTCTGGGAGACAGCCAAGCTCATAATTTCTAGTCTTGAACATTTCTATGTAGTGGGGGGGGGGAATTGTACCCATTTGTTCCATGTAAGTCAGTAGCTGGTTGGAGGATCTGAGGAACATCTGTATCATACTGTAATTTTAGGGCTGGCTTCTATTTTGCCCTGCATGAAAAGCAGATTTGAAAGTGGATACATACATTGTTGGCGATGAATTGAGCTAGTCTTTTCTGGGAATGGTGTGGGTATTTTTTTCCTCTGGTGGTGGGGAGACATGACCCCATGCTTGAGGACAGATGGCCTTTCTAGTCAGTCACACAGATTTCAGAGATACTGGATTGCGTTGATCTTGGCTACCAGTTGTGTTGTCGCCTTTGTAGCCCACATGAAAAGAGTGCCAGGTTAGGTGAGGTGATTTTAAAAGCAACAAAAAGAGCACTGCTGAAGCAACGAAATGTGCCACTAAAGATCAGTGATGACAGTCTCCATGCCACTGCTGATTTCAAAATTGATTATTTGATTACTGAATTAATGTTAGCCGAACAAATTAAATGATTTCAGTATTATATATTAAGAGGAATAAATTAATCTCTCAGTTCTAGCGCTTAGCAGTAATAGATTTTTCATACTCATTAATCCAAGTTCCAAAAATTGCATAACAATGAGAATTATCTTAATGCAAATTTTTGAGCTACTCTCACAAGTTTGGTCAAAGAAAAAGTTTGCTCAGCTTTAAGATTGCAAACGTCAAGAGGCCCATGGGCACAGGAGGCCAGGCTGACCCCATCTCTGCTGTCCTTCCAAAAGCAGGCAAAGACTTTTCTCTTCAGGCAGGCTTTCCCTCAGTGAGTGACTGTTTGAGAGGGGCTTTTAAATAGAGTGTATCTCCTTGTTGCTATGAATCTATTTTTGGTGTTATATTTTGCACTGTTTGGTGCTGATTTTGTTTGCTTTTATTTGTATGGTATTTGTTTGAATCTTTTTAATATCTGTATCATTACTGTTTTTAGATTTCACATGCTGTCTTTCATGATGTAAGCCACTTCGAGTCCTTTTTAAGGAGAAAGGCGGGGTAAAAATATTTTAAATAAACAAAATAGCTGGAAATATTGGAGTCATTATCTCTGCAACACATAATTTTAATTCAGAGCACATGAAAGGGAAAAAAAAGTCTTTTGATTGGGAGGCATGAAAATATATTCAACATAAAAATTATCCCACAGACCTAGTATAAATTCAGGAGATTTAAATGCAAAACTGTTGGTATTACAGTTCAGGTTTAATCAATCAGGGATAACTGTTCACATCTTCAAGGAACAGCTGGTGCTTAATGATGCTTTAAAGTAATGTCATGGTCACGGTTGTATTCTGAATAACTACACATTCTGCAAGTTCTTATTGTGGACCCACACTGTTTGTTTGTTTGTTTATTAACCTTGTATGCCACCCATCTAGACAATGTTTACTCTGGGCGGCTCACAGCAAACAGAATAAAAGCAATTGAAAAATAACAATATCTCAACAATAAACAGTCATTCAAGATGCAGGAAATAATAAGAAGCTGATGGCATATACCAAGATCCAGGTGTATAGAGCCTGTGTCCTGAGAACAGTCCTGTACTGCAGTGAATCCTGGACCATTTGTGCTTAGCAGGGGAGGAAGCTGAACACATTCCATATGCGTTGTCTCCGACGCATTTTTCGTATCACCTAGCAGGACAAAGTTCCAAATAGAGTAGTCCTAGATCGAGCTGGAATTTTCAGCATGTATACATTACTGAAACAGCGACGTCTACGTTGGCTTGGGCACGTCGTGAGAATGGCTGATGGTTGGATTCCAAAATATATCCTGTATGGAGAATTAGTACAGTGAAAGCACCACAGAGAGCGACAACAGCTGTGATACAATGATATCTGCAAGCGGGATCTGAAGGTCTTAGGAATGGACCTCAACAGATGGGAAACCTTGACATCTGAGCATTCAGCCTGGAGGCAGGCGGTGCATCATGGCCTCTCCCAATTTGAAGAGACACTTGTCTAGCAGGCCGAGGTGAAAAGGCAGTCTTGGAACCAGCAAAATCTGGGAGCTGGACAGGGAACAGATTGTGTTTGTCTTCAGTGTGGAAGAGATTGTCACTCTTGAATTGGCCTTCTCATCCACACTAGATGCTGTTCCAAGTCCTCCATACAGAGCACATTACCGTAGTCTCTCGAGACTAAAGGATGTTTAGTCTATCAAGCATTTTACTTATTTATACTTTAATATTCATAGCCGGGTAATATTGGCCACAATTCTCTTGGCAATTTCCACTTGCGTAAGGGAAATCATGTAAGTTGCAGAGGCTAATTGCCACTTGTTAACAAAGTGCTTTTGTTATTCCTTCTTTCATGTTTGATCATGTGATACCATATGCGTCCCAGAGGGCAACCAGCACTTTGTTATTAAGCGGCAATTTGCCGTTGCAACTTAACAAGTTTTTTCTTGAGAAAGCACAAATTACCATTAACATTTGGACCATTAGCTATCAACCTGATATTCTCTCCTTGCCACTTTTTTTCCTGGGTGCAAGGTATATCTTGGTCAGAATACAATAATACGCTGTGACTATGGTGGAACAGCACAATTACTGTGGTACATTGAAGTGCAAGTCAAATAGCAGGTCTTCTTAAAATACAACACAATGGAAAGGGAGAGGCCACTTCTAAATGTTTACAAAGTTGGTTGTGTTACCTACTTGCTGTGCAGCTATGTTTCTCCATTAACTATATAATATGGAACATCCCATTGAGCAATTAGAATTAATGGACACAAATCAGACATCAGGAATGGCAAGACACAAAGTTGTTTCATATTTTAATTTACCATATATGCTGGCGTACAAGACAAGTTTTGGGGCCCCCAAAACATGTCTCCAAGTGGGGGGCCCATCTTGTACGCCGGGTACCAAGAAGGAGCCGCTGCCGCCACGAGAGTGATGCGGGGCCGTGCTGGCCGGGGAGGAACGCAAGCGATGAAGCAGGCAGGCGAAGGGAGCGAAGCTGCGCGCTCGCGTGTCCTCCCCCCCACTTTCCCTCTTCCTCCTCCTCCTCCTCCTCCTGCCGCCGCCCCCCCAAGCTTCTTCCCGGCGCCTCATTTTTTTTGGGGGGGGTCGTCTAATACGGCCTGTCACCTTGTACGGCGGCATATACGGTACCTGAAGACTTTGGACAAGATCTGAAAGTTACCACTCTAGAGGTGGTAAGAATGACAGGCAAGAATCCAAAGACAGCTGAGATAAAATATGTACATAAATTTAAAACCAATGTCAGACTTTAGACCAATGTCAGTTTTTAGACTATTATCAAATGTAAAATAATGTTTTGCATCTGCTGTAATACACAGCTATATTTCTTTACTAACTAACCAGTGCCACCTCACATGCCCCATTAGTGATTAGAGATTCTCATTACCATGTTGTTCCTGAGATTAATTTAGCTACCAATCATTATCATTGTTACAGAACAACGCTTCATGGCAAGGGATCTGAATCTGAACAGGGGTCTTAAAGGACATTGCCAGACATGAAATGTCACACTATCAAGAACTTCTGCAAAGGAAACAGTCTCTTTGTTTTAGGGTCATGTATAATTGCCTAATATAATACTGTATCTGAAGAAGTAGACTTGTCCACAAAAGCTCACATTAAAATATAGCAGTCTTTAAGGTGTTACCATGTTTTTGTCTTCTTTATTTTGCTTTTTTCTTTTGTTTGTGCCTGATATACCATTAGGCAAGTACATTTGTCTTGAAGCATTCTTGTAAAACACGTATATATCTAGAGCAGACGTCTGCTGACATTATCCTCCTCATCAACTTTAAAAGATGAAAACTATAGCAATTTATTTTTTTCAAAACATCTAACAATAGAAGATCTGGAATAAGGAGTGAGGGAGCATAAGGTGTTGTAAGGCAGAAATGCAGCTATGACAGTGAAAACAAGCAAAAACGTATCTCAAAAGGTTTCCAGGTTTTCTGTGTCAAATTCCTTTTTTAAAAAAAGGAAATTTAAGCAGCAGTATTTGCCTGTTGTTTTAGAAGTTAAGATTTGGTAAACAGCCCAGTTATACCCCAATGGGCATCAGACCTCCATTTACACCCAGAAACGCTATGATGTTACACACAGGAAATACCGTTTTTAGATTGTTTAAGCTTTAGTGTTGTGGTTTGTGGACTGTGATTAGCCATTTGTTTTCAATACAAGCATGTGTCCTGTAATATTGAATCTCTTTGAAAACAAGCATACAACATTTGTGGGGTTATTTGTTTTGTTTTCCAGAACATGGCTGTTCCATTACATGGAAGAATGTAAATTC